ATTGTTCTCATAATTCAGCCAGCTGATCCCAAGCTCCATGCTGTTTTCAACAAATGCACTGAAAGTCAGGAGATGTTCCTCCTCTGTCTAATGAACACTTAAGCAGACATGTAACTAAGGGACATGTAATTGAGTGCAGTGGCTCATGTGGTTAGGACTTTGGGATGGAGGTTAGCAAGCCCCTGTTCTAGATCAGGGGTTTCAAACTGCAGGCCGGATGTGTCACATGGAAGTCACACCTACCTCATTGCCAGCAATGGCAAAACAGTCCTGATACGTTGAGTGACATCATGTGATGTCGCAAGTTTGACATGTCTGTTGTAAATCCAAGTGCTGCTGCATGGTGAGGTGAGCTCCTGTCATTCACTCCAGCTCTTTGATGGGGAAATGAAAGAAGCCACTACAGGCATCCCCCAGCATTGGTGATGTCACCAGCTAATCCTTTAAGCCTGCAAGCACCTTGAAAGGTGTGGTGCTTCTGTCCCAAATGGGAACTAAGGGACTGTTCAGTTAAATGGACTTTAGGCACTGCTCTTAAAAACACATAAAAAATGTTGTAGAAAGAAGCAGGGATAGCCTAGGTGCCACTTGGGGGATTCAATTACATGTTCCTGTAGGCTTGACCCTGATCACTGTTTCAATGGAATAAACCACTACTTTGAGCAAAATCAGTTATGCTGGTAGGCTGAATTTGTTTCAGACTAAAATAATAAGAGTAATTGGATAATCATAAATATAGCAGGAGGACTTTTTCACCCACTGTTCCATTTTTAGCTCAAACATGATTTTCCTTTCATATTTCAGTTTGACAAATCCATTTAAACCACAAATTAGTGCAGTGGAAAAAAATTAAAAGTAGAGTCTTTTTTTTTAATTGACACTGGCAGAACTTTTATCCAAGAACTAAATGTGGCAAGTTTACTATTAACACTCAGTAGTACACATAAGCCCAAAATTAATAGGCAATTCAAGCTCCTTATCATGAGATCAAAGTACTCTTTTTGTACCAATTCCCAGCACCTATACTTTATGGAAGAACGAAGCAGAAAACAGACATTAATAAAGTTTTCTTCCCATTTCCTTTTCTGAAAGCATTCTTAAGAACATAAGAAGGGTCTGATGAGATGAGGAAAGATTGGATCTAGCCCAGCTTCTTGTTTCCAACTACTGTAAATACCATTTGGAAGTAGGATGTGAACTACTTTCCTTCTCGTATATTTCCAAAGTACTAGAAAATTATTCATCATGGTTAATAGCCATTGAAAGATCTATTCTGCATTATTCTGTGCCTGTTGAAGCACACACCTAAACTACAGAAAATTAACTATATTCAACAAGTCACCATTTATTCAACAGTAGATAGAAATCTGGAGAGATTGTTCTAATAATAATATGAACAATAACGTTTAGTTAAAAATACAGAAATCTGAAGAAGAATGATAGACTGCACTAAGCAGCCCAGGCAGTGTTAAGCCAATGATAAGCATCAAGAAGAGTACTTTTCCACAGTGTGTAAATCTGGATGTAACTTCCAATAGAGTCTTGAAACTATTGATACATTGTCCAAGTTTGAAATTAGTTCAAATTTATTTGAAAAAGTGCAGAGAAGAGCACAAAGCTCCTATGAAGACCAGTGAAAAGAACTCCTTATATTTAACCTAAAGAAAAGAAAGCTAAGGGGAGACAGAATAGGAGCCTTCCAATACTTGAAAAGCTACCACAGGGAAAAGGGGGGTGGATTTATTCTTCACAACGGCTAAGGGTAGGACAAGAAAAATGGGTGAAGCTTTGCAGAGAGAAGTCCAGACCAAATAAGGAATTTCCTGACTCTTGAGAACAGTTAAACAGTAGAAGAATCTGCCTCCTGGAATTATGGATGTTCTGTCACTGTAGGTTTTTAAACAAAAGTTGAATAGCCATGTTTCTGAAATAGTCCTGGACAGGAATCTGTCTCTCTCAACTTTGTGATTCTATGATTCTATTTCTTCTTTAATAGAAAAGACCATTTAGCTAAATAGTTTCAGTTAGATACTGGAGGTGCTTTGCATCTGAAAGCAAGTGTTCTAGTCAATCCAAAATAAAGTTTCCAACAATCCATAGTTCTAGTTGACTTCAAGTGCTTTTATAAAGTGAGTTAATTGAAGAGAGAGATTGGAAAATGTTCTCAGCCATAGCCCCTGAAGCTCAAACCAAATCTTATGTCTAAATAGGCCACTCTATATTTGTTAGAATCACATTTGATCATCACTAATGCCAAGCTGTACCTTTTTCCATCATTGGGAACTTCTTTTCTTCCTGAGCTTCACAACCAAAAGCTTTTGTTGGGATCACAAGTGGGAAACCATCTGATCCCAATGAAACTTCTATCCCTCTTGACGTTCTTCAATATGACACCACTGTTCTTTAATAAATAAGACAGAAGAGTTTCATGTTCATCGCAGAACTGTATGTTTTTTGACTGGAGGTTGAAGAGTGCCGACTTTCTGCCTCCATCATCACTTCCCTTTAACTGCTATGGAAGGACAGCTGGCTGTAATGCATATGTGCAAACCTCCCAAGATTTCTTTCTGGCATCTTTAGGTAGAATTGGGGGGGAAATCCTTGTCTCTAACTCTATATAGTAGACGATATGAGCTTGATGGATCAGTGGTCTGTTTCAGTAAAAAGCAGCTTCCAATGTGTTCTATTTTCTTAAAGAAAGAAGACTTTCCTTCTTCCTGGTTGCCACTCAGCAGCAGCAGCCAACAAGTACTGTTTCCCATCACATCACCTACTGTGTTGAATAGTCCAATCTTATGCATGGTTATTCTGAAGTATGCCCCACTGGATTCAATTGGATTTATTTCCAAGGAAGCATATGTAGGCTTGCAGCATTTAAGGCTGAAAAGATCTTCAGATTATCCAGCTGGCAACCCTCTGAGCTTTCTGAAGTGTTACAAAGGCAATGCACAAACTTCTTTATAAAAGAGAAATATTTGTTGTATGGCTTGTTCAGTTAAAGGTATCGATTTACTTCAATATACTTCCATTGACCACAAGGTAGCATATAAATATCTTTTTTTCCCCCAAGAAAGTATAATTCATGGTGTATTTGCAAGAAAAAAAACACTTTATTTGACAAGCATATGATTTGTTGCATGTAACAAATCCCCCTGTGTGATGCATAGCATATTATTTTTCTTCTAACTGATCAAAGCTATATCCTGATTTGAGATGTTAATATTTATTTACACCTGTGGCTATGAGAGCAGGTGAAATGTGTTTAAACACCAAATATCTGCAAGTCATGCTTAATCCTAACCATGGTTAGCGACATTTCACCCTATCAGTATTTTTTTTCTCATTGCATGTGTAAGTCACATAATTTGTCAATCGTACTGATACAAATTATAGTAGATGTGGCATACTTTGCAATAATAATATTGTGAATTTGTCTTTTTTTAATAATCATGAGCAATTCAGATTGGAAAAAGAACCTTGAAAGAAAAAGTTACCTATTTAGTGATAAAAAGAAGTCAAGACTGAAAGTTGTACATAATTAAGTAGAAACTTAAGGTCACAAAACAGACCTAGATCCTAAAGCTCTCTCAGTTATGGCTAATGCTTTTTAAAGTTTCAAAGAAAATGACAGATAAGTAGAAGTTGTAATTAACCTAGCCTTATGAAACTACACCTCCCATAGTCCTCCAGAGTCCTTCATAATCACCAAGCGTGCTAAGAACTTCATTTGCTTCTCTGATAGTTTCACAGCACTTTGCACGTAGTTTCATCAAATGTGCCATACAAGAGGCTCCCTTAGGTCTTTCAGATCAAAACTGTCTTAAACATGTTACTATTTAAATACCAAATGTCAGTGTGGCTACTCTAAAGAATTTAAGACTAGGTCTTGAACTGACCCAGGATCAATTCTGCACTAGCCATGAGTGACTTTGGAATTCCAGAGGCAAGTATCAACACAAATAAGGCTACTTATGAAGTAAATAAGATTCAGACGTAGCAATAAAATGAGGAGAATGTGAACAATGCCTTAATTAGGGAAGTTGAATCTATATCAATCAGATTCTTTTGCTGTCCCAATTAGTAATGTGGCAATTAGAGTATTTTTTTTTAAAGATCTGCTTTTCAAATCTGTATGTTTTCATTCCTAACTTACTCTAATACTCTCAGTTTTTGCATGCTATTTTCCCTAATATATATAGTTTTGAATATAACTTCAGTGAATCATTTTTAAAAAATATTCTTGTGTTACGCTTTTTAACATATTAATTGTATATGTGAGCTTTTAAAATGTAAATTTTGCAAATGTAAGTTCTCTGTTTTTAAATGTAAACATATTGGGAGGGGGGGAGGGTTACAACTTCCAGAAACACATTCTTTTTAATTTCTTGGCTTCATTCAAAGCTTGGAGTGGAAAAGAATTACCTTTCATTCATTCGTGACAGGTGACAGCAAAGCAACAGAGTCAATTTTTAATGTTCATATTGTTCTTTCTTTAGGACAGATTCCACTAAATATAGCATTTTTGGATCCCAGAAAATGAATATTACTTTCTTTCTGACTTGGGCCTTTTGAGTTTTGATCTCAGATAATATGTTTTCTCTGTTAGTTTTTGACAGAATGAAGATTCAGGAAGTTAATATGCAATAACTGAATCTCAAATGATTTGTTCCAGTAGCTCAAGGCCATTCTCTGTTGATGGTGTACGTCGCCCATTGTCTTAATCTTTAAAATTCCCAAATATTGTATATGCAGTCACTGATTGCATTTTAATGCTCCCTCCTGCCATAAATACATTGCTCAATATAAGCAAACAAGAAATATTGTTGAAATCCTTTTGTGAAAATCAGAAAAGCTCCCAACAACTTATATATTTATGATCCAATATGAACCATTTCATAAGTTTTCCCTTTCTAAACTATTGGCAGCAAGCATTTGTCATTGCATGGCCCTAAGTTGCTTGAATATCATGCGTATTTTTTTGTGTCTCCTCTTCTCTCCAGTACCAACTTGAGAAAAAGTCACCCTGGAGATTTCTGGCGACACAGTGGCATCAATGGGTCGTCCTCTGCACAGCTCTGGTTCTCATGATCAGCACTCCATTCCTGGTCTACCAGATGATCGTTGCATTTAAGGATCCTCCACCAGGTCTACTTTTCAACGTAGCAGCCATCTGTGTTGGAGCACTCACGGAGATACTTCTGACCAAGTGAGTGGAAATAGGGTCTGTGTTTCTTCTTGCTTTTTCTGTCGTGAAAATGATCAAGGTTGTCTGGCTTTTTTAAAAAAAAAAATTGGGTGGTCTACAGAAGAACCATCTCCAATCTGATAGCCCGGATATATTTAAAAGGCACCACTGGCTGAAAACTCAGAAATTGTAGCCTCCAAAGACAGGTAGTCCTCGGCTTACAACAATTTGTTTAGTGACCGTTCGAAGTTACAACAGCACTGAAAAAAAGTGACTTATGACCGTTTTTCATACTTCCAATCATTGCAGCAGCCCCATGGTCACATGATCAAAATTCAGATGCCTGGCAACTGGAATGTGTTTATGACGATCGTGCGATCAGCTTTTGTGACCTTCTGGCAAGCAAAGTCAATGGGGAATCCAGATTTTCTTAATAACCGTGTTATTAATTTAAGGACTGCAGTGATTCAACTGACAACTGTGGCAAGAAAGGTCATAAAACGGGGGCAATGCTCACTTGACAACTGTTTCATTTAGCAACATAAATTTTGTTCTCAGTTGTGGCCGTAAATCGAGGACCAGCTATATGTGGAGAGCCCTAAGTTGGGAATAGCTACTGCATAAATGTAATTAACAGTTTAAACCCTGCATTTTTTCTTCCATAGCTTTTCTGAGAATGATTAGTTGTGCATTTGTGTACAACAAGATACCTACATACTGTGATATATCTGCCATAAGTCAGTGTTTCTCAACCTTGAAAATTTTAAGGCATGTGGACTTCAGCTCCCAGAATTCCACAGCCAGCATTGCTGGCTGTGGAATTCTGGGAGTTGAAGTCCACACGCCTTAAAATTGTCAAGGTTGAGAAACACTGCCATAAGTGCTCTTCTTGTCTTTTCTATCTCCGTCCGCCCAACTAAGAATAATATTTCAGGATAATATACTTATCTGTTATACAAAACCTACACTTTTTTTTTCTTATTCCACTTGCTGACTAGCAAAGCACACATAAAAAAACATAACAAGCAATAAAATGCCAGTTGGCTTAAACCATATGACCAGCCATGTGACTAATTTGATCTTTAGTTAATTATGTGATGGGCAGTTTCCAAAGCAATACCAGGTCTGTCCTTAAATTTTTAAAGTTCATATAGACTTTGGATTCAGGGCCTCTCCCACAACCACATTTGCACCTATTCAGCATCAGCAACACCTCACTTAATTCCTCCAAAGGCAACTGAGCCAGTGATGGTCAAACGGCAAAAATCCATATTGTGATTTGCAATGTGATCCTTGAGGGAGGACTGGTGGGTTGTTCGGTTTTTTTCCTGCATTTGCAACAATTCTTGAGTTGCCTCTATACAAACTTCCATCTTTTCCCATCTTGGATTAAAACTGAATCTTTGAACTAATGTTCATCCATAATTAAACCCATCTTCCTTTCCCTTTCTCTCAAATCAACCAGCCTCATATTGACACAATTATCTTGAAGCTGTGATGGTCACTATAAAAATGTTGACATTTACTGTTTGAAACTAATTTATGGTGCTGTGAAATTGTAGGTATGCCCTGTAAATAAGTGTCACTAACATGAATTATCTTCAGACATTTAATGTCAGCATTTTAATGATGGGCCACTCTCTCTGGTTGGTGGCTGTAATTTAGCTGCTGAGGAGCTGTAGAAGAAGTACAGTAGGTTCAGGTCTTAATGAAGTGACTAAAGAAGTGAAGAACAAAGTAAAGCAGAACGCAACCTGAAAAAGGTTGCACTAGGTTAAAAAAAAAAAAATGAAATTCCGGTGACATAATTTTCAGAAAGTAGTCTAAATTTAAATAAGCATTTTGGCATATTATGTATTCGCTCTGGGAAGCACAAAAGCAAGAAAATGCTAATTGTATTTAATTCTAACTTCTAACCTTTTTAATCTGTTGCATTGCTAGTTCAGTATTGTAAATTTGGCTGCTTTATATTACAACACAAACATGTATTGAGTCATTCCAGAAAGCCTGACATTTCTAAAACAAATATGAAAAAAAAGCGTGAAGTTGAGCTTTTCCCTATTTTAAAGCAATTGGCTAGCTTCTGCTTTAATTCGGGTCTATGGGAGCTGAGACAAAAGAATCATTAAAAGTAACATATCATCTGAATAAAAACTGCAGCAAAGCAGCTAAATACCAACCTTACATTTTTTTTCCCTTTCCCCAGTAGTTTGGGACTAGGGATTGTGTTATTTTATTTTATTTTTTAATTTCTCCTCAATATAATACCAATTGGAAAGTTGCCCAGGGACTACTAACCCATTAGCAAATTAAGAATCTGCTTTTAATAACGCAGAACTTGTAAATAATGCATTAATTGACTAGCTTGAAAGTTAGCTTGAACGCTAGAAACCCAGGCTGTAAATGTATCGTGAAAGAACGATGAAGGTTGACTTAGCTGCACAATGATCGGAACAGATTAAATATGACAGTTGATATTTGCAAAAATGGGGAGCTAATTGGAGGACACCTGCAGCTGTTTTCCAACCAAAACAACAGAAGCCAAAGATGTATCTAATTAAAGTGTGTCACATTTTTATATTTTGCCTTCCTTCAGGTGTTCTGTGCATATTGGGTTTGTTTGTGCTATACCTTTGTCAGGACATGAGCCTAAAGAAGCAACAAGTGTCTCGCTGATCATGTGTGGCTTCTCCCGGTGTTGCAGTTTATTGTGCAGAGAGTATGAGCCGAGGTGGCGCAGCAGTTAGAGTGCAGTACTGCAGGCCACTTTAGCTGACTGTGTTCAGCAGGTCAGCGGTTCAAATCTCACCGGCTCAAGGTTGACTCAGCCTTCCATCCTTCCGGGGTAGGTAAAATGAGGATCCAGATTGTTAGGGGCAATGTAAATATATATATACATTGCTTACTGGTGTACACCGCTTAGAGAGTGCTTGCACTTAAAGCGGTATATAAGTCTCACAAATAATAAATAAATAAACAAACAAACAAACATGTGAATCCTGTTTACTGAGAGCTAAGAGTGACTACACAATATGACTCAGAGATGTTTATAATGCTTGATTGGGAGCCATCCAGAGTTTACTATAAGATGGGAGGCTCTATAAATGTTTTAGATCAATAAATAAATCAGAAGGAGGCTTGAATTCTTCGAAATGTTTGATCCTTTCCTCTGTTGTTTTCTTCATTTGCCTGTGAAAAATCTCATATGGTACTGCTAGGTTTTTGTAAAATTTATTTTAAGGTGCTCCATGTTGCACAGAAAAAGGGATTTTACATTTTTTTATTGAAAATTTTATAAACTTTTTACAATAAGATACCTCCCTCCCTCCCACCCCCCATGATCCTCCCCCCTCCTTCCCAGAGCTGAATACAGGGTTAAAAAAACAAAAAAAACCATACAAATTAAATGAACATCAATCAACTATACATACATCCAAAAAATTTAAAGTACTTTAACTCCAATACATAGAAACAAGTCCAACCATAACATAACAATAAAAAAAGAAAAAAGAAAAATAACCCACTTTAAACTATAAATTATTCAAAAGCTAAATAATACTTTCTAATCCCATATTTATTCCGTACAAAATTTACCCATCTTTTCCACACCGAGAAATATCTCTCTTGTGAATGGTCTTTCAGATAAGCCGAAATTTTTGCCATTTCTGATACATAAGAAACTTTAAAAAACCATTCTTCTATAGTAGGCAAGGAATCTTTCTTCCAATATTTCCCAATCAATAACCTTGCCACTGCGATAAAATTCAACATAAGAAAAAGGGATTTTACATTTTTATTATATTGTTCCTATGCTACTGAGAAATCTCTTTTCTTTCTACTTTTAGAAAATCTACATTTTCTTTCATTCAGCTATTGAGTGACTGCTTTTAATGTTTCATATACATTTCCAGGGGAACAGATGAATCAAGTCTTTTGCAGCACAACTATCATTCTTATGGCAACTTTATGATGAGCGAATTTGTTATTGTGTAAACTTGCATAGGTGAAATGAATTGTGTTCCATAATCACTTAAGCCAGTGATTGTGAAATTGCGATTCACAAAACTTCTGTGAAATTGCGGTTCACAGAAGTCCACCAAGGATCCACCACATTCTTCTCTGAAGCCATAGCCATCTCTGTTTATCTCCTCTGGGTCGTCACTGACATTTGCCTGGTCAGATCAAAGTCACTTGCCATCTTAACCACTGCCTCCCCTGGTTCATCACCAGACAGCTAACCAGGCCCAAGCTGTGTCTTCTCACAGCCCATGCAACCTTCCATCCACCTATCGGCTTGCTAGTCAGAGCTAAAGGTACTTTTTTCCTGGTTTGGGAAAACGGACAAATTCTTGAAATATACAAGTGATGAGTAGTAACATGAGCGTTGAAAACTGAAAATATCAAACAGGTCATGAGTGTCCATACATACTGTACTAAAGGTTACTTATACCAGGAACCCCAAAGAAGCATGTAAATGGCAATAATTGCAATGATTACTTAAAAATGGAATTTCAGTGGACTCCTAGCTTCTTTATATTTGGAGAATTTTACTAACGATCATTCCTGACTGGCAGGTTTGTGCCAAGAGTTATTATTATAGAATGCATACATAAAATAATACCTGAACAAATATGTTTTTATTTGGAAGAATAATTCATTTTAAATGTCCTTTAAAAATGGAGCTGATAGCAAGGTAAACACAAATGTGAGTATGATTATTAGTGTATTCTGCAAAAAACAAAAACTAGATTTCCTACATTCTTAAACATAGGGAAGATCCCCAGATTTTCCAAAGACTTATTTAGTGGCCTATAATTATAGAAAGTTTGAGAAACACTGATGTATGCAATGATATATTTGGCAATTATTAAGATGCTACAAACGTTTTTGTTGTTTAAATAAATTTGTAATCCACCCAAAGAATTTAGGTTACTAGATGAATTTGAAATATAATAAATTATACTTAATAATACTAATTGAATTTGAAATTTGTCCTCAGGAATACGTTGTAAACATCTTTTAAATTCAATTATTAC